AAAAAGTTATCATTGATTACACTAATTTTACAACCAGAGGCGAATCTAGGATTTTAGAACATGAATGCACCACCAAAATAAAGAAGGGAAAAAATGCGTTAAGTGAGAATTGATTTGTAGTCCTCTAGGTAAGTAACTCAACATCCAACCAATTACACCATTTAGCCTTCTTGTAGCATGAGTCCCAACAAATAATATTATTCCAATTTTAGAAAATTAATACCTAGTTTGACGGAGAGACCACAGGTTCACGTGAAGTCGTGCACCATTTCTAACGTGTAAAGTCGCTCATGTGTATAACTATTCAATACAAAATTGGTATTAAATTGAACATAAATTGATTTATCTACGAAGTTAATAAACAAATGTTTTTTTTTTCCAAAAAATGATGTTGAACTATATTACGCCTCTCAACCTTCTCTACGTAGGTAAGGTCACTCTACCCTCCCCAGACCCCACCTATGGAATTACATTGGGTTTGTTGTTGTAAACTATATTACATTGTCTCGTCTCAGAATTCATAAGAGAAAACAAAAAGAAAAGGAAAAATTACCACAAAAGTCATAAGTGCTTAAGATGGTACTCCATCCGTTCACTTTTACTTGCCCACTTTGGATTTTGCACCACATTTAAGAAATAATGATTAATATGAGTATTTTCCCATATTGCCCATATTAATTGATGTATTGGTTTAGGTCCTTGCAAATAATTTGAGGAATAAGTAATCAATTTTGAGGGTAAACCAAGAAATAATCAATTGTCTTTTCATAAAATATTATAACCGATAAGTAAAAGTGAATCTGTTTTTGGAATATTGAAAAAGTAAAAATGCACCGAAGGAGTAGATTCTAGTACTAGGAATGAAAACAAGAAAAGAAAAAGAAAGTTAGAAAAGGAATCAAATAAATGCGAGGAGAAAAAGAGAAGCAAAAAGGGAAGGAAAAGAAAAATTGTTGAAAAGCCTTAAATGTAGGATACAGGATTCGATCTCTTATCAAAAAGATCCAATTGAATTAAATACCTTTTTCAACCAAAGCACCCGATGCCTCTTTGTGTCTCCATTGCTCACTTTATTATTTGAGTAGCTCTTATCATTTCTTTATATAAATTCACACGTCCCGCATCGGAAGTAATGGGTGCTCGAGCACCCACTAGGGCTTACATGGGTCCTCCCCTGGTTTTTGGTAGTCATACTCATTTTTTTAATCAGGTAAAAGGTTTCATTGATAATAACAAGGTCCCTTGGCCGTAGACAAGTGATCTACCAAAAAAAGGAGAAACCTATAAAATTATGATTCTCTTCAAAAGACACCTAATCCTCTATACAAATAGGAACTACATGGGTGCTCCAAAAGAAAATAAGGGATCAGAGACTACTCCTCAATTGAGTGAAGCTCATCTCCACCCTTTCAAAAGCTCTCCTATTCTTCTATTTCCAAATGACCCACATCAAAGCAAGAGAAGTAACATTTCAAACCTTGTGCCTTCTTCTCCTAGCTCCACTCTTCCAGCTGAGCATCAACTCTTTAATGATTCTTGGCATAACCCAATAAACTCCAAACCATCTAAAGATATCCTCCCATAACCTCGTGGCTAAATTGCTATGTAACAGAATATGGTCCACGTTCTCACCCGTCTCTTTACGAAGGAAACATTAGCTCATGCCAACAACCTTTCTTTCCCTAAGATTCTCCGTCATCAAAATCACTCCTTTAGTAGCTAACCGCGTGAAAATGCATACCTTCCTCGGCACTTCGGTATCCAGATCGAGACATAGAGAAAACCATCCTCCCCTAATTATAAGCTTCTCATAGCAGGACTTAACCGTGAACACTTTATTATTCCCCAACTCCCAACTCAAAGCGTTGGGTCTGTCAACTGGCTCACATTGCTTTTGAAGTAAACCTAGCAATCTCCAAAACTTGGTTTACCTCCCAATCTTGGAAAGTTCTCCTAAATCTCAAATCCCATAAGGTCCCATCCTTATGAGTCCCCCTAACTTGTTGAACAGACAATTCCCTTTAGCAAGAGACTCTATACTATACCGGGAATTCATCCTTAAGCACCAAACCTCCGCACCACTTTTTCCCCCAAAACTAACCTTACTCCCTTCCCCAGCTTTGAAACCAATGTTATCATTAAATGCATCCCACCTCTCCATGATTTCGTGTAGTTTGATTATAGTATCATTTTGTTGTAGTATTGCTCTGCTACTATTTGTTGTTTGATTACTGTCTGTTGTTTCTATTACTTCTTTTTCTAGACTGTTTTTATCTTGAGCTGAGGGAACAACCGCTCTACCTTTGAGGTAGAGGTCAGGTCTGCTTGCACTGTACTCTCCCCAGAGCCCACTTTGTGGGACTACTACAATCCAACTTCTGATTGTTTGTTTCCGTTGTTTGTGGTTTCAGAGATGTAGCTTATTATGTGATTATTTCTTAATATGATTCTTCTTGTAGTTTTTCATACCTTGTCTCTGCCCCAAAATATTACATTTGACCTTGATGTAGTTGCTATCTGCCTGCTTAACACTGGTTTGTGCGTGTCTGACAGAAATAATAGAGGGGATGGTGAATCAGAAGATGGAAATTGAGGCAGTTGATTTTGCCTATACTTTTCGAATGGAGGACAGATTTAACTCTCAGAAACTTGTGACAACATTTTTACGAGAATCTAAAGAGCCACTGAAGAAGATGAAGGGAAAGTGGCAAGGCTCACTTGCTACTGTGGTAATTATTGAATTTTATTCCAATACTGGTAGCTCTCCTGCCCTGATTTCTCTGCTGATTTCCTCAAGCTTACTGTGCATTTTTTTTTTGTACAGCATGAAGCAAAAATGAAGCATTTGTTTGCTCTTAGATCTGTCATCAAATGTTCAAGACGCCATAATATTGATCTTTCAAAACTTCTTCCCGGGTGGAAAATCAATGAGCAAATAATGAGCTTGGAGAAAGAAATTGAAGTAGGTGAGAAGAAGATGGTACAAAAGAGAAAAAATGATGAAACTGAGTCATCTGGAATGATCAGCAACAAAGAGGCGAAACAGTCACATTTTCCAAATCCACGGCTTCAACAGGAAAGAGTTGTTAATCATATCGATAGCAACACAACCTTGTTAGAAGGTGGAACTGCTGGCCACATGTTTGGTTTGTCCCCATCAGTATTGCATGGACCTGGAGGTCATGGAAGGACTTTAGTGGATAATACACCCATGCAAATAGGAAGTCATCATACTGGTCAGTTATATGGACTGCATGGTGATGTAGCTGTGTACGACAGACTGCTCTCCCACAGCTATGCTTATGGGCCATCATCGTACTTGGCAGGTTCTACAGGGTTGCCAAACACCAAACCTGGTGATGCTTATAGGCCACCACCGTACTTGGCAGGTTCTACAGGGTTACCAAACACCAAACCTGGTGATGCTTATAGGCCACCACCATACTTGGAAGGCTCTAAGGGATTGCCAAACGCCATACCCACTGATGTTGCTGGCCGAAGCTCTGCATCTAACCCCTATCAGTTTGGTGATACTGTTGCAACAAGTGAACTCTACAGGAGCAGTGGCTTGCGAGCAGTGGATGTTGTTCCACCTGCTGCCTCTGCTCATCATTCGTCCTACTTGTACACTGGACCAGATAGTTTCGCCTTGGGTAGGCATTACCTTCAACCTTAATCCCCTTCTGTAGTGTAGCCAGTCTTGAAGTAATTACTCTAAAATCTCTCAAGACACGAGCGCTGAAATGTTTAGTTTCTGGGATAATTTTGAAGCTTAGATAGTGAAGTCTAAACTCTACCTAGCAAAATTCATTTGTCTGGAAAGACTTCAATTAAAAACTCTCTTTTAGACAAAATGACTTAAACCTGCTTCTCAAGTGTTTTTTTTCTCTCATTCTGCCCTTTTCCCCCTTTTATTCTCTTTTTGCTTCAATCCAGAAGGTTAAAGCTTCGACTCGTTATTCGTATTAAAAGATCGACTCATTTGTAAAGTAATCAGATGAAAAATAGAAGAATTGATGGGTGTGATTGATATTAATGTTTTCATAAAAGATGCTGTACTTGCTGTAAAATAATTTACTTGGAGAACTTCATTCTGTAGGTCATACAAGGGGTATTCTGTTTGGCAAAAAAAAATTATAAGAACTTCTAGTAAAATGTGAGAAATGGATTTTAATTAGTGTGACGTTGTTAGTTCTGAGTACTAAAGCTAAAGTCAATTTTTATATATCCGTGGAAGAAAGTGACGTTGGAGCTGGAGGATATGACCTTAAATATGAGGTTTTGGAGGACATTCACTAGGATAGAAGGTTAATAGATAGTGTAGTGTAGAGCATTGTCTTGCTTATCCTCCCTTATAAGTAGGTCGTTGTATTGTTATATAGTTTTTTGTCCTCACAGTTATGTTATTATCTATTGTCACTTGTACTTTGATTATTGCACAATTTTTTATTAATTATTTTTTTTTTTCAAAATGTTTTTTTCATGATTTTCTTGATATTTGCTTTGATATATATTTTTATTGAGTGAAATATTAATTGAAAATCGTCTTTCTATCTCTCTCAAAGTAGCGATAAGATAACAATCTTTCTATATCTTTTGAAGTAGGTGTAAGATAACGAAAAGTAAGGTTGGAACAAATTATTGTACTCCCTCTACTCCATATTTATTAATTAAATTTGTGAGGCAACGCACACCTATTAAGAAAAATTTAAGTACATAATTTAAATCACTTTCCACTATTTTTCTTTGTGAAATCATAAATATAACTTTGTAAGTAGTGTAATTTTTCTCCTATAAAATATAAAATTTCAATAATGAGAGGACAATTATGAAAAAAGTTCAAACATCCATTTTGAACTTTACACAATTCAATTATTTTGAACAATGAAAAGAAATCAAAAATTCAATTACTATAGAATAGAAGGAGTATAGAATATAGTAATACACTATTTAATTGAGTTTTTCGGAAACAGAGAGAATTAAAATGGAGTGCCAAACGAGACGTAGCCCGATCAAGGGCAATATCGTAAACGTACTCTAGTTTTTCTCCGGTATACAGAACCGGGCTTTCATAAACCTTTATGCACTTTGGGGTTTTTCTTGTATCGGCTACTAAGAGCTGCAAAAGAGAAGAAGTGACACAAAAATGGTGAGGTTAACGGCGGACCTGATTTGGAAAAGCCCTCACTTCTTCAATGCCATTCGCGAACGCGAGTTAGATCTTCGAGGTTTTTTCTTCAACCCTAATATTTTCTGTTTTCAACTTCAATACATAGTTCTATGCATAACTCTTGAATGGAGAAGCTTAATGTTTCATTTTACTATGTTATTATGCACAGGCAATAAGATTCCAGTCATTGAGAACTTAGGTGCTACCGAGGTCAGTTTTTTCTATTTTAATTTTTCAACTTTAAGATTTTTAGTTATCGGGAAGTAGTTTTTGAAGTTTTATATTTTGGTTACAGGATCAGTTTGACACGATTGATTTATCTGATAATGAGATTGTTAAACTCGAGAATTTTCCATATCTGAATCGACTCGGAACTTTACTAATGAACAACAATAGAATTACGCGTATCAACCCTAACATTGGAGGTGAGATATTAGACAGTTAAAGTATTGCACTTTAATCATACGTCTATTAACGAGGCATTTGTTCGTTTTTTTTTTTTTCGTGATGTTGCAGAGTTTCTGCCAAAATTGCATACTTTGATTATTACTAGCAACAGACTTACGAATTTGGTTGAAATTGACCCGCTTGCGTCTCTCCCAAAGCTGAAGTTTCTTAGTCTTCTTGAGAACAATATCACAAAGAGACCAAATTATCGCCTTTATGTCATTCACAAGTTGAAGTCCTTGCGTTTGCTGGATTTCAGGAAAGTCAAACAAAAGGTTGGTTTGCTCATTCCTTCCACCCCTTCAATTAAATGATGTTGGAACTCTTCAAATATGTTCGTAGTTCAGCTTGTGGTTTTAGTTAACTTTGTCTTTCTATTTGGATTGAACTAGGTGCCATCCAGAATTTGCTCAAAATGCAAGAAATTGTATAAAATTAATTACATATCTTGCAGTCGAATTAAAAAAGAAACATTGAATGGGTTCCCAATCTTGAAGAAGGTTACTAGCCTTTTCTTCTTTGTTTGCAAAGGCTCCGTCAATTAAGTTGGAGGTGTTCGGTATGTTGTCTGAAGTAGTTGCATACATAGATGAATGACAGACCTTGTAAATCTGTTTGCTAGAATTTTAAATGGAAATGGAGATGATAGACATTACCTCCTTGAACAGGTCAAACCTCAAGATAAGTTGTGCCTAAATGAAACATATTGCAGGTCTCCTTGAATAGTGCTGTCTATGTATTTGGCCTTCTTAATATGAAATTTATCATTTTAAAAAGCTTGTAATTTATCTTAAAGCAGAGGACATGACTAGCTCTCCACATATAGATGTAAGTACAATGACTATTACTAGAACTTGTTAAGTCCCACATCGGTGGTGGTAGGCAAAATTGGTATATAGTCTTGGACAATCCTCACCTCTTGAGCTAGCTTTTGGGGTTGAGTTAGGTCCAAGATCCATTTCTTTACAAAACTTAAATGTATCATTAGAACAGTCTTGCTTGCTTGTCTTGAATTTAATCTGTTGTTGTTTGCTTTATGAGATTGCCAATGATTAAGTGTTTTTTTTTTGAGATATTTTGGGATTTGACACACAATGTCGGCATGTATAATGTTACTAATATACACTCTTTAACTTCTCTATATAAACATACAACTATTTTCTCCAGCAAAAATCTATGCTTGCTCATCTCTTCATTCACTGATGTTCTATAGTTACTAGGTGTTTCTATCTTCATGCTAGAATTTCTAGGGCATGTTCTTTAAGTTTGTCTTAAAGTGTGGTAATCAAACCTTGCTTTTGTACTTTAAACTGCTGCATATTGAGCTGTCACATCTAACTTTGTTGCTATAGGAGAGATTGGAAGCAAGTAAATTATTTGCATCACAAGAAGCTGAAGAGCAGGTCAAAAAGGAATCAGTGAAGACTGTACCTGTTGAGGTTGCGGTGCCTGCTGAGGAACCAAAGGAAGCTCAAGCATCTAAGCCAGTTGCTCCAACACCTGAGCAAATAATAGCAATTAAGGTACAATATTCAGTTATCAGTTACTGTTTCTTTTTACCCGTTCTTTCTTCCTCTTCTCGGATGCTTTCAAAGAATTAGGATGGTGGAACAGATTGTTTGGATACGTGTGTCTATATGATGAGGGCTGTTCGTCGTATGAAATATGGATAGGACCAACCTATTCACTGTCTCTGCACAAGAAGTCAACTACTCAATATCTGCTTTATGTTTCTGTTTTGTGTTTTTGGCTAGCCTTCAGCTGCAAGTGACAATCACCACCACCGCCACCAAAAAAAAATAACACTTGTTCAGATCGATGAAACAAGTTTCTGCCCTTCTAAAGCTTACAAATCAACTAGTTTCAGCAACACAACCAAACATAAAATGAAATAATTTTTTAGAAGACACTGGTTAACAAAAGCTATCTTCATGATAGGTTATATAGAGCAGAACAATTATTAAGAAAAGCTACATATTGTATCATAGAAGCACAGTATCTTCTGTGGATGGAGGCTACATATTTCATTTTTTTAAAGAAAAGTCATCAGACTCTTAGACATTTCTTGCAGTGACTTGTCGGTCAGAGTCAAATAGGTAGCTTTTTATGCTAATAGGAGCACCCTATGTCCACTGAATTTCTTGCTCATGTCAATGAACCGTTGCCAAAGAGAGGCTAGAAGGAGCTTATACGTATTGGGCTTAATGCACTAAGCTTTCTCATTAATGGTAAATTTGGTCTAATTATGGAATTGTACCTGGTAAATTGAAGCATGCTGAACGCCTCTCCTGTCACGGATTTGTGTAAAAGAGACCACTCCAGAAATGAATAGAACAGTCTTTTCCTTTTGCTGGTTGACTTAATTGTATTTTTTTTGCATGTGCAGGCTGCCATTGTGAATTCCCAAACTCTTGAGGAGGTGGCTAGACTTGAACAGGTGATGCATAAAGTTTTGATTTACTGAAATTAGTGTTTTTGTCATTTTCCCCCTTATGAAGACTTTGCTCAGATTCCCTTTCTTTTTCTGGCATGTTTTGTGTTACTTATGATGATGTGTAAAATTGTGCAGGCATTGAAGTCGGGCCAGCTTCCTGCAGATTTAAATATTGGTGATCATGATGTTTCTGCTAAAAAAGAAGATGCCAAAGAAGACAAGATGGTAACAGATAGCGATGATAAAGCTAACAAGGCGGAGGAAAATGTACCTGAACAGAAACCTGATGGTCCTACAGATATGGAGCAGGTACAAATTACTCTAAATAAAAATTTAATGACTATGTCTTCTCTTCTCTTATGTTGTACTTCCTCTTGTTTAAGTTTGCTGGGTTTATATTTGCATTAGCTTACAAGAAGAAGAATATCATTGGGGTTATAACATAGTTACATAACTGTTGCATGCTTAAAATTTGGAGCACTGTGCCAGGGTTATGAGAACCGTTCCTAATTGCGATAGTAGACTTGTCTAATTGTATATTGCCCTTTTGACTCACTCTGTATTTCAGAAAACTTCATTGTATTGTCTTGTCACCTGATTTCCACTTCCTGCTTCTCTTTTTCAGGAGTAGACACCTTGGGTTATCATGTGTAATTGAGTTAGACATTCAAAAGCCAGTACATTCAGTCATGCACCGTTATCCGTGTATGAGGAGCGCTTCTTTTTGAAGTGAGGGGATTAGTTAATCGATGTAACTGAAGCCATTGTATTCTGCTGTGTACTAAGACCTTTTCTTGCATTTTGATTCTAAAAGACTAAGTAGCTGCCAAGTTTAGCAAATCGTAGCTTGAAAGCATCAGGTGACAAGCTGAATTAGTGTGTCAAAAGTTGTATTAAACAAAAAAAGAAGTTTGGTAAGCCTTGTCTTTTTATTTATTCTCTTACATCTGATGAACTGAATGAAAGTCTATACATATCTGCTAAATTTATCAAATCATAGCTTCAAACATCAGGTGACGAGCTGAATTAGTGTCAAAAGTTGTACTGAACACCCCAAAAACAAAGGGTTGGCATTTATTGTCATTCTGTCAAAGTTGGTGATGTCCGCAACTTAATAGATAGAATATCGACAACCAAAGCCATCTTGGTTGAAGCTTCATGTTCACAATTTCACATTATTAACAAATGTATATCTTCATAAAATAGATTTGACAAAATAAGGTGCACTATGGTTAGCTTCTCTATCTTTTAGTAGAATAGATTGTGTAGGTTAAATACATGATCATCAATATTATACAAGGATCATAAGAGTTTATACATTGTTGAAAGAATTCTGTGGCATGTCTTTACATGTATGAATGGACTATATCTAAAACTATACAAAAAAATTACTCATATACAGTGAGCTATATCGTGTTGTTATTACCTTACATTACAGTATAGATGTATCAGATAAATGGATACGCTGGCTTCACCTGTTGGTGACAACTGGATTTCCATTCGTATCAGACAATTGGATACTCTGGCTTGACTGGTTAATGACAACAGGATTTCCAGATTCATCTAAATGGATCATAGCAACATCACCAGGCTTGAAATCCCCAGAAAGTACAGATTCACACAGGAGATCTTCAACCATTTGCGTAACAGCCCTCCTCAGAGGGCGTGCACCATAGTTTCTGTCAAATCCTTGTTGGCATATTAGGTCCATTACTGCTTCTGATACCTCCAAACTTATTCCTAATGAAACAAGCCTAGCTCTTACCTCCTGCAACATCAGGTTCAGTATCTCGAGCATCTGAAACAAAAAATACAAAGCAGTTACTCACAGTAGCCAATTGCTTTCTCAAGATTTGTGCCAGAATAATATATCACCCTATGGTCCATTTCAGTTCTCAGATCAATGCAACTTCTTGAATCAAACTAGAGGTCATCAAATAGGTTACAAGATGCAGAGGTATATTATACGAACCTGAGGCTTCTCTAGTGGACGGAATACCACTACTTCATCTATCCTATTCAGTAACTCTGGACGGAAGTATGTTTTGAGCTCCTCCATCACTATTGCTTTCATACCAGCATAGGAGGCGGCTGACTCATCATCAGCAAGCAAGAAGCCGATAGTATTCTGTCTACCCTTTACAATGGCTGTCGAACCCACATTAGAAGTCATAACTATCAAGGCGTTCTTAAATGACACTCTTCTTCCCTGTTGAATCAAGTTCCATAATTAGCAATGCCAAGATCCAAGGATAAATAAATTCTTCAGTTAAATTTATTCGAGACAAGTTTTACAATCTATCTCGTGGAATATTTAAAATCAAACCTGAGAGTCTGTTAGGTGACCATCTTCAAACAACTGAAGGAGAATATTGAATATGTCGGGATGAGCCTTTTCAATCTCATCTAGCAGCACTACAGTGAAGGGCTTTCTTCGGATAGCTTCAGTAAGAGTCCCTCCTTCTCCATAGCCTACATAACCAGGAGGCGATCCAATTAACTTGCTCACAGTATGCCGCTCCATGTATTCACTCATATCCAATCTTAGCATGGCAGATTCCTGGGCAACACCAAAAGATACAGTGAGTACATCGAATCCAAAAAAACCAAGTATCCCGTGGAATTAGTCGAGGTGCGCGAAAGCTAGCAATCTAAGTGATCCTTAAAACAGAACAAAACAAAAGAAAACAAATATTACTCTAGCAATCTGATGATAAACTAAAAAATGTACAATTCTTCTTGATGAAATCTTATCCCCAATTTCGGATGAATTTATTTGATTCAATCTTTGCACTAAAGTCACAAACCATCTAGAACCAAGAGATTCAAATTCAAAGTAATGAAAAGATTAAAAGCACATGTACACTTGAGCACATTCAGTAATTTTGATTTATTTTTTGACAGATTAGGTGATTAAAGACTTCTTAGGTTTCTTTCTTATGGGATCAGTGAGGGGGATGCAAGGATCTAGTTAATGTAGGGAATTTTTCAGATACATAAAAAATGTTATTCTTCATTTCATTATTGAAATGGCTGAAGGAATAATCTGATCCTGGCAATGGAAAAAGAGATTTGAAATAATCCAGTAATAGTGCCACTAGTATGTCTAAACTTGAAGTTCTGCAACAACATTAATTGGTGGGGTCTTCAACACTTCACATAATAGCCAAAGAAACCTAGAATGGCCACACAGCACGGCCTTCGGCACCCTTTCCCTCTCTCTTTCTTTATTACTTTGTGTGTCCAGGACCAGCTAAAACACAATCACCAGATCATACTATCATAGTTTAATACTTTGTAACACAAAAAACCACTACTACCAGAAACCTAGAAAATCCATCAGCATCAAAAAGGTCCTAAAGAACACTACTGCTATCATCATTACCTATATCCATTGCTACAGAAGTGGCTGGATTGCAACTTTTTGGACAATAATAACTTCAGTGGCAAAAACTGGTGACTGTCTGGTGAAAACTAAGGCATCTAGAATGAAAGATCGAAGCAGATTTCTTATCTTAAATTATTCTTCTCAAATTCAGACAAACTAATAAAGGTAGACTTTGTTAGCCCAAATTATGAAGCCAGGAATCCTGATCAATAGTTCTACATTTAGATGACCAAAATTATGGGAAGCAATTTCAATTACGCAGGTTTATATTTCTACTCAATTGTTTAATCTAGAGACATGTATTTTTGATGACTAATGCGAAACAATTTATATTATTAATACTTACAGAACCAAAATAAGATGCTGCCAAAGCTTTAGCCAGTTCAGATTTTCCAACTCCAGTAGGACCACAGAAGAGCATTGCCGAAATTGGTCTATTTGGGTGTTTGAGGCCAGTTCTGGATCTCTTAACAGCCCGACAAATAGATGTAACAGCCTCATCCTGACCAACAACCCTTTTCTTAAGCTGCTCATCGAGACCAACCAGAAGCATTCTTTCATCCACAGTAAGCTGCTTAAGGGGAATGCCTGTCCAGAGTGAAGCAACTGCTGCTATTTCCTCAGGTCCAACTAATGGGGGTCTAGAATAAGATCAAAGAATTTAAGTTAATTTACTTCTGATTTAAATTTATGACTTCTGAGTTCTGACAATCTTTGTTCTATTATAATGCCCTTTGTGGAACATGGAAGCAGATACGTACTCATGTTCATCAGATGTAGAAGACAAAGCTGGCTGCAAATGAAGTTCACTGTCATCATCCAAACGAGACACATCATCATTTCCAGTCAGCTTGCTTGCCAGGATCTGTTAGTAGAGTGGGCACAGGTTCTTGTATTTAGACAACATAAGGAAGTACAATCTTTTAACGACATGCAAAATCTAGAGATATTGTGTAACATTTAAGTATAGTTACCACTTCATGCATGGTTTGAACAGCTCTAATTTCCTGCCAATAATCACTTGGTGATTGTGAAAGTACAGATATCTGCTGTTCCTTTCTTCTTTTGTGAGCTTGCATACGAGATTTACTACCAGCCTCGTCAATAAGATCAATAGCTTTGTCAGGAAGATACCTATCCGGTATATATCTTGATGATAGTTCCACAGCAGCCTTTATGGCTTCCAGACTGTACCTACACTTATGATGTGACTCATATTTTTCACGCAACCCCAACAGTATCTGGACAGCATCCGCCTATATAATTTAGGCAGAGGAATATCTGTTAGGACATTACATACTCACTTAAGCATACATAGCATAGAGTATTATTCACCTGACTTGGTTCATTAATCAAGATGGGCTGGAACCTTCGGGCAAAGGCCTTGTCTTTCTCAATATGCAATCTGAACTCATCCATGGTCGTCGATGCAATACACTGTTACATGAAAAAAATTTATGCACAAAATCCAGATTTTAAACATCAAAGGATATGCATAGATGGACAACATACATAGACGTATAACACACAGATTAAGACATACGAGTGTAAAAGGATAACCGGTGTTTTTTCAGCAGGATCTTTTTCTCTGTTTTGTAAATTTAATGCTGAAAGAGAAACTTATATTTGATAGGAACCTTAAAGAACAAGCAGGTCAAGGGACAACAAGAGGATAAAAAACCATATTCTCAAAGAATACAGTTGAGTTACACCAACCAACGCCCAAAAATTTAATTCATCATTGCTGAAGGAACTATGCATGCATCAATGGTGAACCTTCTTCGCCTATCTACAGATTAACCAATAGTTTATTTGACAAGTATATTACAGTTTTTACGTCTAAGAATGGAAGCCCACCTTAATGAACTGAATAGAGTAATGCAGGGAACCAGAATAGGAATTACCTGCAGTTCACCACGGCCAAGTGTTGGTTTTAGCAAATTAGCAATGTCAAGACCAGAGCCCTTATTTCCCCGTCCAACTGTGCCAGCACCAACAAGGGTGTGGACCTCATCTATGAATAGAATGATATGGCCTGCAAATTATGTCACTAGGCTTAGCCAATGACCAAAGAATTTAACCAAATTTTACTTCCATTCTATGCTCACCTGACTCTTTTACATCCTTAATTAATGTAGTCACACGCGCCTCTAGTTCACCCCTCTCCTTTGCACCTGAAATCAATAGGCCAATGTCTAAAGACATTACCCGTTTTTTCTGTGCACATAGCAGAAAACCACTAG